AAAAGTGGAGTGACGAGCTGTTTGAGATCTGGGAAGAGTGCGCATCTGCTCTTCTGCAAGCCGTCGCAAGGTTATCTAAGACCCTTCTCAGCACAGAGCCCCAAAGACATTTACGCGTATATTCGCTGGACTATAATTCCAGTCTCTGTACAGACCATATACAAGATGATAGACATATGCCTGTGTGCTCAGTGTTTCATTATGTGGACACGTGTGAAACTGATGATCGGCTGATTTGTGTGTTGCTAGTGATTTCATGTTCCTTCATGAACCTACATTTAGTCTCACCAGGTGTCAGACCAGGCTGCTGTCACATTCCTTATTAAGTCCATCCTCTCAGGGCACTTTGCTTTAATACTGCACCAATGTGTGCACCCACACACACGCACAGAAACAGCCTTGGGCTTAAGGCTGGTGCTGGAGTACTGACTGGACTTGCTGCAAATGTCAACTTCTTAAAGCGTTCAGACATGCAGGGGGAACAGTACGGTACAGCACAGCATGGAACAGAATGACATGTTATAGAGCAGCTTGACATAGACCACACTGCAGAACGCCCTTAAGTAGGAGATACAATAGCAGCTTGTCCTGATGCTTCTGCCCACATACTGTCCAGGTTCTCACTGTTGGTCATGAATATGGCAAGACAGGTGTCTTTTTGAATGTGTAAGGATGTTAAAAGTCCATCAATATTTACGATATCTCTATTCCTCTCTGTGGAGGTAACACAATGTAGCTCTATAATATAAAATCACGGCCTTCTAAATTTGCAGTTTGTGGGTTTAGTTTTAAAATACAAATGTTTGTCTTTGAATTTAATGCTGCGGGAAGGTTTGTCACACTTTCTTTTTACCGAGCGCAGTAACTGTTTTGAAACAACTACGGCAGTGTTAATTAGAAAGCTGTTGAAATAGTGTGGTGGGAATCTCAATGAAACAAAGTGGAACATTGTAGAACAGCGTGATGGCGTGTAGTGAAAGTAAAAGATCATTAAAACATGGAATGTAAAAGGAAATAGGGTGAAACAAACTGGAATATCATAAACAAGTGCAGCATGGTGTGCTCAACTGGTAAATTGTATGGCTGAGAAATAAAGGCAGGACTGTTTGGACTCCTAAAAATAGTCTTTAAATGTCTTGTAATGTGCCAGTGCTGTGAGAGATAAACTTTCAGCTCGATTTAAGTACAGAATAGCACAGGGAAGCGTGATAAAACACCACCAGAGAGTGAATGACACAGTGGCATGGTTGTTGTCAGTATCTGTATCCTGTCCAGTGCAGCAGTAACTATCATTTAGTGCAAACAACCTGGCAGCAGGGGCTATTTGTACAGCTTCTTTTCTCTTAAATTTCTTTGTTTTTTATTTTTATTGTACACTACTTGATCTCTAAAGGAAATCTGTTATTTCTTGTCTTCTTCCCTAATTTTCTTTCTTGCATTTAGAAAATTAGGTTGTCCTTTAGTCTATTACCTTTTTAATGTCAGAATTTTAGTCAATACAAGAACTCTGCTTTCACCTCCAGATACATGCATTGTGGCCAAAGCAATGAGAAATGTAATACAGCACAAACACATGAAAATGAAACAGCAGGATAAGCAAATATAAAAGAAGAAGAGGAGCTTTGGTTGGCAATAACATTTTAAATCACTTTGCTTAAATCCTCAGACATTCGTACAGTCATGCTTTGATTTAAATTGTTTAATCCTATTTTATTCTTATTGTATTGGCCTTGCTGTTAAATTGCTTACAGCCCTATATTATAATGATACAAGTGTGTGTTGGTATTGTCTGGAAAAAACGCTGAAACTGTATTTACTTTGGGAAAATAACAATCTTTTAAGTCATTTTTGACTGTAATCAAGTCCTTAAAATCTTATTTTCTTATTGAGCAGGTGATAAAATCTGCCTTGTGCCAGTGAGTATTTCAACCCTTTTTTCAAAGTAAATTAACTTGTTTAAAGTTTAATTTTTTTTATTTGTTGTGATTCTAATATTGCAACCTATTTTATTTAGTTAGCAATAGTTATATTGGAAATTGGTTGCAATATTCATACTGTAAATATTTCCCACTTGTTTTGTTTGATCCACATGATTGAATGCACTTATTGTAAATCACTGTAAGTTGGATTCAGTATCTTGTTAAAAGACACTGAAGCAGGGTGGATGCTAAATGGATGTCATCTGTCTGAACCCAAACTGCTGTCCTGAAAATAGTTTTAATTTTGGCTTAATGGCTGCTCTTAAATCCAAAATATCATAGTCATAGTTTATGACTATGGCAAATGCAATTTGGTTTGATGTAATGGCTTTGCTCAAGGCACCTTTCTTGCCCAATTTACATTAGGCAAGACAAAAAATGGATTCCAGGATAACACGGCTGTCAGTGCCTGAAATGGGCCGTTACTAAATTGGTTGCAATATTCCTCCTGCAAATATTTTTCACTTGCTTAAAGAGAAGAAGGTAAGGACTTTGTTACAGACAACTGATGATAAAATGAAGATTTAATTTCTTTCATTTGGTTTCAGGCTGTTTGATAGATACGAAGCAGAAATCCAAAACAACTCTTTTCCATTTCTCTCTCTCTTTCTGTGTCCCCCTCAGAGATTACAGCTCGCTCGGCTCTGATTTAAGGGCGAGCGAGCTGACCCTCTGCGTGGGCTGCCTTGCATGGCCTTCACTGATAAGGAACATGCCTGCTCATGGTGTACATGAGTGGGCTGGATGGTGGTAAGAGAGATAGAAAAAGAGAAAAATGTACGTATTAGAAATCCTCATGACCGCAGTCGTTGTATGACCACTTGAGGTAGATTTATTTTATTTAGTCTGTATATAAATGATGCAATAAATGGGAATGGGTTTTTTTTCCGTCCACACAACCTCTCGGAAATGTCAAACCTGCTTTCACTCTCACATAAAAAGGTGATCACTGTATCACCGTGAGTTGGTGAATTAGAACAATGCAAAGTGCATTTCTTTGTTTTCATCTTTTGAATGGATGTATGAATGAAGCATAAAACATGTCCAGCATTAGCTGACAGTGAATAAAAGCACAGGATTTGGGCAGCATTAAAACAGCTGCATCCTCCCAAATGCCAATCAGTTCTTGAAAGAATGTGGGTTTTTGTTTATTTATTTATTTTTTGTCACATCCATGTATAAAGCCTTTGTGTTTGCCTGAAAACCAGCTCTTGCAGATTTAAATTTTTTACTTTATTTGAAAGGTTTTAATAAAATATTATGATTTTAATAATACATAATGAGAGAGAAGGTGCGAAGGATCTTGTCCCATCATATATACATTATCAAGGTGAACTCAGTATGTCTGCATCAGGGCATAAAACACTTTATTTTATGTTTTATGTTTACTATTTTCCCTGATGGTCTGAAAAGTCACTAAATGCGAGAAAATTCTCACTCTGACAAAAGTAATAATTTAATTTTCTATTGATACATTTATCTACTGTCCCAGAAATGTCCCAGACACTGTTTCTTATCCGTGTCATAGGGGCCATTTTTAGGGACAACAGGACTTCCTTGATTTTGGGCACCACTACCTGATGTGCATCTGCCGACTTGCCATTACATCTTGTCTCTGGTTGCACGTATCCATAATTGCTTTATGCTAAAGTGACCTTTCCACTGCCGCAGAGTTTAGAGCGTGGCTTGCAGGATGTTTTAGTGCTGTTGTGTTTTTTTTTTGTTT